TAATGCCAGTGGGGGCTAGAAACTGCAAAATAAGGGAAGATATCCATAGGCAGATCTGACAAATCTCCAGTAACGGTATGGATCAGTGCAGTCTGTCCCTGGAGGTCACATGGGCCACCATGCCATCAAGACGGCTCACCCCCATGCGGGACAGAGAGGCACCACGGGCGGGGCGAAGCTGAACCCAGAGCGGGCCAGGCGCTGCTGTCCAGGGAGCTGCAGCGCCTGCAACAGCCCGGGGTGAGCGGAAGGTGCGCGACACTTGCCTCTCCGCCCTCAGGCTCCCCAGCCGCCCAAGGGCTGACAGTGCCCGGAGCTCCCTGTTCTCCCCGCGCTTTGCCGCTGCGTAGGTTCTCTCCCAGGGCTTCCAGAAGGCAGAGCCCAGTGGCCAGGGGAGGGACTTGGGATGGGAACCTGCAGTGGCCTGCAGGTGTGATGGTCTCAAGTCAGTGCTTCAACGAGGGCAAGGCTGAATGCTATCCTGCCTGGAGGCTCATGCTGGGATGAAAAAGCCAGTGTCAGCCTTCTGTGGTTGTTTCGGAGCCATGGGCTCTGTAGGAACCAGGCTGTGCTTTCTCTGGGGAGGAAGCCTACTTTCTTCTTAGACGTGACCTCTCCTCTGAGCCCTTGCTCTGTGGAATGGGCCGCAGAACGTCAGGTCTCCAGTGAACAGTTCGCTGGCTGACACTGCCAAGTAAGTTACTGGAATTGCAACAGACCACTCACTGTGATTAATCACCTCTGGCTAGAGAGAATCAGGTGAGCAGCCGGCTGTCTCCGTAGGAACAGGCAGGGCTTGTGCCGCCTTCTCCCATCCCCTGCCAAAAGATCTGCTACTCTTAGTTGGAGGAAATCTGGCTAAACCAAATTAGGCTTCCATAACACAATCTCATTAGGCTGTATCAGCTCAATACTCATTATGCAGGGTCACAACAGACAAGCTTCCTACCGCTAACTTCAAACTTTTAAAAATAAGGCAGCTGGCTGGGCGCAGTGGCTCACGCCTAGAATCCCGGCACTTTGGGAGGCCGAGGTGAGAGGACTGCCTGAGCCCACAGGTTTGAAAACAGCCTGGGCAACTTGGTGAGACCTCATTTCTACACTAAATCAAAAAATTAGCTGGGCATGGTGGCGCATGCCTGCAGTTCCAGGCTGAGGTGGAAGGACTGCCTGAACCCAGCAGGTTGAGGCTGCAGTGGCTGTGAGCATGCCACTGCAGTCCAGCCTGGGCGACAGAGTGAGACTCCAACTCAAAAAAAAAAAAGGGGCATCTGACTCTTCTGATCCTCATGTCAAAATCTTTCATAAAATACAAATCAAAATGTTAATCTAAGAAGCAAGATATTGTGAAAGTAGATATAAATGGGAACGGAGAGAGAAAAAAGAATTCAGATGTATTCAGAGCTCCCAAAAGTTGTGTGGAAATATCAAGCAGAAACTGGACAGTACCACAAGGCTGGTGGTCCTCAACTGTCTACTCTACAGGCCTTAAATTTTGACTATCAGAGTCATTTGTAGTTTGGATAACAAAGGCTGGTGACTGCTTCCCTCAGATGCCTTACTGAAAATGCACAAGTTGCTTCAAATGGGTTTTCTACCTCCCTACCACAAGCATAAAAGCAGGTATTAGTTTACTGGATTACTGTGGTAATCTGATATCTCAGTGCCCAAAGGACTATGACACAGGACTGATGACTGACCAACAGGGGACAAAAAAAGTGGAAAGCACTTTTTTAAGATGGTTGAAGGTTGCTAAGTCCCTCAAGGGCACACTGTTATCCAAAATGAAAGCAAGAAACCCTGCTGGTGTTGATGTTGCAAGACTCCCCAGTGATACTCTGCTTAGTTGATAAACACACACACACCCACCCTGTTACCAAGCCAAGAAAAGGCGTCATCTCTAAACCGCCTCTTTTTGTGACAATTCCACGTCTACGCAATGTTAGATATTCTGTCAATTCTCTGCCCAGATTCCGGGACAACAGGCGGTCTGACATATCGAGAAAGTTCCGCCTCGGCTGTAGCACTGCCCTCTGGTTCTGCTATTTCTTTTTTCCAGCACTCTCTCCACCTTGGGCAGAAGCTGCCTTCTTGGGTGACCAAGACCAAGAGATATTGGTAAAAATATTTTGGGTAAAATATTTTCATCTGCTGATTCCCTTATAAGGTCAACAGGTTCAGGGTGAACAACTGGTGTTGAAACAGACCAGAAAATAACGCTGTGCTGCTTCTAGTTCTCTTTACACCACAGAGAGACACCGTCAGGCCCTGGCTTACGTGGTATGACTTCAGAGGGGCAGAGTTGGTCTCTCTGGTCTATCAGCACATATGCGATGCTGTGGGGAATTGGGAGAAAGGTGGGGGAGCAATGTGTAAGGGGGGAGGCAGAAGGCAGAAGGCCCCAGAGGCACACCTGTCAGGAGAGTCATGCCATCAGATTGGCCTGGATGGAAGCAGCAGAAATCTGAGAAAGGACTGCCTGGGCTCCGCCAACAGCATTACATTCTTAGTGAATTTCCATCTCATTGACCCAGGAGCCTCAAGCTCTGAGACCAATACTTCAATATTTCAGCAACAAATCTGGTGCCACCAAGTGCTGAGGAGGCTGGATTCCACCTGAAATGAAGCCTAAGGAAGCTTTTTTTGATTACTTGTGGTCCTGTTTACAGATTTTGTCCTCTGCCATTAAGTGAACTATGATGACCTCTCAGCAGCTGTGCTATTCAAGCACCAGGGAGCAGGTTATACAGCACCTGAAGCTGGGAGTGCTGGCCCTCGGGGTTCTGTGCTCCAGACTCCCAATGGATCAAGTGCTGGGATGCCGAGCCACGTGTGCAGCCAAGCCCCAGTTTCTGTTTTCTTTTTTGAGTTGGAGTCTCCCTCAGTCACCCAGGCTGGAGTGCAGTGGCACACTCATGGCCACCACAGCCTAGGCCTGCTGGGCTCAGGGGATCCTGCTGCCTCAGCCTTCCAAGTAGTTAGAACTACAGGTACACATGACCATGCCAGGCTGATTTTGTGACTTGTTATAGAGACGAGGTCTCACCAACTTGACCAGGCTCATCTTGAACTCCTGGGCTCAGGCAATCCTCTTGCCTCTGCCTCCCAAAGTACTCGGATTACAGGCATGAGACACCGTGCCTGGCTCAAGACCCATTTTCTTCTGAGATTCCTGTAGATTTCATCTACTATGAGCTGGTAACTCATTGGTAGTTGGGCTGCCTTGGATCTCTCAGCTTTCAATCCTTGGAGATGCCCCAGGATCTGCAGTCCAGATCAGTTAGCCACGTTCCTCTGGGAACCGACATAGTGTTTATTAGGCAATCCTAGTTGTGTCTTCTTACAGACATAGTTGCTGACTCTACCTGCTAAGTGCTGGCAGGAGTATCCGTAGGGTTTACAGCGAAAACCTTGCAGGAGTGCAATGCGGTTCACAGAAGACTTGGCTTTTTTTTGGTTTATTTTTTAGAAACTTGTGCCCCTAAATGCTCATAGCAGAAGACTGTTGCTGCCATCCGATTGGTCTACTCTTGCAAAGGGAGGAGAGGAAACTGAACATGCCCTGAGCATTTTCTGTGTGTTATGTGTTATTCGAGGCATTACACAACCCCTCACTTAACTCTCACCAACTCTAGAAAGAAGACATGTTCATTGCTCTGTGTAGATAAGCAAACTCAGTCTCAGAAACATGATGTAAGGTTTTCCGAAGGTCACAGTTCCTAGAAGAGATGGGATTTATATGCAGGTAATCTGACTCAAAAATTTATGTTCTTTCCACCATAGCGAGTTTCTTTTAAAAAAGTTTCCTTCTCGGGGAAAACACCACAAAATCTACTACCTGGCTTAGTATCGCCATCATGATCCGGCACTGATTTTGAGTAATCAGCGTGAAGTGAGCTGAGCAGCATGTCCACAGGCATAGCTGTCTCTCACGGTCACAAGGGTAGCGACATCCCAGCACGGTTAGAGCCTGAGTCTGTGATGAGTCACAGCGTGAGGCACAGTCAGATCTGGCCTATCTTCTTTTCAAGCCAAAATACACTCTGCCTTTACCAGTTATGCTGTTGTTTTCTTTGTTTCCAGGAAATCAGTAATATACCTAGCTTTTGAAAACACCAACTTTATTAAAGGAATGACTCTTTAAAAGTGTTAGTGTGGAGAAGTAGAGAGCACACTCCCCTAGGACACTAGAGAAGGAGGTCTCAACAGAAAGAGAAGGCTTCTTATCTTGTCTAGTTTGTCGAGTTGAGAAACATTCTCAAGTCAGGTTCAAGCTCACTGGGAAAAGGAGCTGGGGTAAGTCAGGAACTCTGCTGCATGCAGGATGGGCAGTGGCGGTAGACACTATGTATTTGCCACCCCATTCTAGTCCCTCCTCGCTTCTTCACCTATGACTTTGCAAGCTGATTCAGCATCTTAAGGCCTTGATAGCAAAATAGGAATGACACCTTATTTATCTAAAAGCAGAATGGACAGACCAGCTGATCTCATCAAACATTTCTCAGCTGTGAGGTTAAAGATTCTATTTTCTGGTATAAATCTTAGTACTGGCTAGACTTTAATAAGGTTAGCGATTGGTGACTTTAATGATGATAAGGTTTTCACAAGAGCAATAATTTTTAAATGATTCTGCTGTAAGTCAGAGAGATGAACAATATATCAATTCTCTGTTCACATCTGAAGAATACTGAGGAAGTCTGTTAAGCAGCTAATAATATAGCCTGTCATTCCTAATGGGGACATTTAAAATTATTTAGGAAACACAGAAATGCAGGGTAGCATGCTAAATATCTACGCAGATGTTGAGTCTCCAGGAAATAACACTGTGAGACAATAAATTACTTAACCTCATTATAGTCTTGCCTTGAGAAGAAACAGAGATGAGGTCTCTACCATGTGAAATGCTGAATAAAGAAACTTCTCACTGCTTTCAATCCCCATGCTCCATGCAATAAATATAACACAGACTCAGAACTGCTTATCACAGATCTATGCCCTACCTGGGATCACATAGAAATTTGGTCTTCTCTCCTTCTTCTCTCCAGATAAGCCATTCGCGAAAAGAAGGATGCACAAACATACGCGTCATGTCTCTGCGCTTGATCAGGAACATGGAGAGGTTCTCCATTCTCTGTTGAAAATCCTCCCACTCCAGAGTGCCTTCAATGCTACCAGCATTGATGGCCTGGAAGATGTGCTCATCAGTCAGTGGGTGGAGCGAGGCCACTGCCACATTCAGGAGAGGCATCACCCGGTCAAAGGAAGACTGGGTTGGGAATTTCATGTTGCACTGCAGTAAGTAGACCTCTGAGAGCGAGACAGGAACTACTTTATAGCTAGAGCTCTTTAACACTAGGTAGCCTTTTTCTATGAGGTCAAATGTGAGTTTCAGGTATAGGTAGGACCCTTGGCTGAGGGTTTTGAGATGAGAGCTGAGTTTGCCAAAGGCAGTGTTGTCCATTTTGCCATTGAGTGAGATGTTGCTCTGGATTTCGGCGCTGCTGTGTATCCGGTGCAGGATGTAAGCCTGCAGGTCCTGGTCTATGGCTTCATTCTCTTCCAGGTGATCCAAAAAAATCCTGTGGAAAGGCAGCAGCTTGGTGATTTCCTAAAACAGACAGAGAGAGAGAGAGAGAGAGAGAGAGATAGAGAGAGAGAGAGAGAGGGACAGAGACAGAAAGACCTTCAGTTTCCCCTAAATCTTGTGATAAACCACGAGGCCTACACATTTATTCTGACCTTCTGAGTGGCCAAAGAAAAGAGGAAGATATGATCAAGTATTCATATCCTTAAACTAAAACACAGTTGTTGTGTAGGATGGGCACAATTTTTCCTATCACTGAGACTTAAGACAATTTTTTATGGGTCTCCATAAAGAGAACTTTAGGAATGGTTTCATGGTCATTATTCCAAACATTACCCTTAAACTAAATATAAAATGGAGTGCCACATAACTCTTTTGTTGTGATTTTTCTTAGTGTGAATGAGGTATAATGCCAAAGTACAATTCAGTAAGAGAAATGTGTAAGGATTCAAAGAATGCCACTGAAAAACATGGCTTTCTAATCCCCTAATAAAATGACTTCATTAAACTTTGGCCGCCTGGAGATGCCTTAGCTGAAAGGAACACTTTTTTTTTTTTTTGAGTTTGAGTCACACTCTGTTGCCCAGGCTAAAGTGCAGTGGCACACTCATGGCCACTACAGCCTCAACCTACTGGGCTCAGGTAATCCCTCCACCTCAATTTTCCAAGTAGCTGGAAGTACAGGCATGTATCACCATGCCCAGCTAATTTTTTAAAAAAAATTGATTGTAGAGATGAGGTCTCGCCAAGTTGCCCAGGTTGGTCTCAAGCCCGTGAGCTCAGGTGAGCCTCTTACCTCGGCCTCCCAAAGTGCTGGGATTACAGGCATGAGCCACCGCACCTGGCCAGGAACATTTCCAATTACAGAAACTTTGGTCATCTGCTTGGAGATCATATTGGGGGGAAGGTGCCAGGGCTTTGTGGCGACTCTTAGGCACTGAGTTTTACCCTTTCTTCTCTACTTGTGAACTCCTGTGAGTACCCATTCTCTTTCCTGCGTCAATTTCTTCTTAGTTGGATTACACACACATAAACCCCATTTTTCTTTTTTATGAGTTAGAGTCTCACTCTGTTGCCCAGGCTGGAGTGCGGTGGCACACTCATGGCCACCCCAGCTTCAACTTGATGGGTTCCGGCGATCCTTCTGCCTCAGCCTTCCAAGTAGCCGGAACTACAGGCATGTGCTACCACACCTGGCTAATTTTTGATTTATTGTAGAGACAAGGTCGCGCCAAGTTGCCCAGGCTGGTTGAACCCACAGGCTCAGGCAATCCACTCACCTTGGCCTCCCAAAGTGCTGGGATTACAGACTGAGCACCAAACCTGGCCTGAACCCCATTTTCTTTCCTCCGCTACTAGCCTGCATCTCTGTTCCCATTTTTAGCAAAACTTCACAGAGAAGTTTTCTGTTTGTTGCTTCTAATTCTCCCCTTTCACCCTCTCCTTTATTTGTTCCAGTTAGGCTGTGCCCTCACGGCTTTGCTGAAATGATTCTTGTCCAGGTTATCAGTAATCTTTACTTTGCCAAATCGACATCAAGCTTTAGTTCTTAGCTTCCTCACTGTCTCAGCGGTGCGGAGCACTGCTGCCTGCACCTTCCACCTCTGCAGCAGGCCCCTCGCCTCCCTCTGAGCACACTTGCACTTTTCTCGTTAGCCTTTTGGTGGGCTTCTCTTTTCTTCCCCAGCCCTCCCAGGGCATGGGTCTCTATTCCTCCCTCTTCCCCAGTCATTTTCCCTTCCTAAAACAGTTTATCTAGTTCATGGTTCTAAGTGTCTGTATGCGGATGATGCCTATGTTCTGTTTCCAGCTTAGTCCTCTCCCACTGTGTATCTGTCTCGTCAATGTCTACATTTGGATGTTTCATAGACAAACAATGTGACGAAATCAGAACTACTGAATTCTGTCCCCCACTACAGAACTTCCCCATGTCAATAAATGGCATTACTATTGACCCCACCACCAAAACCCTAGGAGGTCTCTGTGATCTATTTTCCTTGAATCACCACTGACCCATTTGCTCATGAAAAACCCAAGATTCATCACAGAATCTTCGCTCTTGCTCACACCCACATCAGTCCTTTCGACCCTCCTTCAAAATAAGAGTCCAAATATGCCCACTTTGTAGGTCTCCACCATTACCAGTTCGGTGTACGCCACCATCACCTTTCGCCTGTACTTGCTTCCATTCTTGATGTCCTGATTTTACTGCCTAGAGAGCCAGCAGACAGAGATCTTCTAAAAAGTAGATCAGGGCTGGGTGCTGTGGCTCAAGCCTGTAATCCTAACACTTTGGGAGGCCGAGGTGAGAGGACTTCAAGACAACCCTGAGCAACATGGCATAACCTCGTCTCTACAGTAAGTAAGAAAATTAGCCAGGCATGGTAGTGTGCGCCTGTAGTTCCAGCTACTTGGAAGGCTGAGGTAGAAGGATCGCCGGAGCCCAGCAGGTCAAGGCTGCGGTGGCCATGAGTGTGCCACTGCACTCCAGCCTGGGTGATTCAATCAGTGAGACTCTGACCCCCCCCCCCCGACCCTAGAAAATGGTAGATCAGATCTCACACGTATAAGGCTCCTTGGAGACACCTTGCCTCCCTACTGTATCTAAAACAACTACCATCTCCACCCATCCCTTCATGCTATTTTATCTTCCTTCATAGCACTTAACACACTACCTGCCATCTTAGAATATGTTTCCTTTTTACTTATTGATTGTCTGGGCTCCTTACTAAAACATAAGCTTTACAGAGGCTGGGACACTGTCTGTCTTGCTCATTGATGAATCCCCAACCCTTAGAACAGAGCCAGAGATACTCCAAGGACTTAAAAATGTTTGTGGAGATAATGATCAACTATGAATGAGGGTCCATTTTTTAAAAACTATGAATTATTTTAGTGTCATAACTGAAAGAAAATATTTAAAACAATTCTTAATTGAAGTACTTTTTCTGTTCTCTGGCATAGCTGAAAAATTGAAATCATCGGTTCTATCCAGTCTTAGGCATTCTTTTAAGACTGAACATGACACTATGTGAGAATTCGTACAAAGGTAATATCTCTTAAGCAAACACTTGGTAGAAGTGGTCAGAGATGGTGTTTCTGGAAGTTTCTTTTATTCCAGAACAATCAATTTATTCTTAACAATAAATCTACTGACTAATAATAATAGGTTATATACATTTTTTTAGTTGTAAAGCTGCATTTATGTTGATTCAGTCACATTATTTAACTCAAATTACTTTGAGATTAATAATAAACATCTGCCAGGTGGTGGTATGGATTAGAAATATAGAAGGCAGTAAAGCAAACTGGTCAATATATAGGAATTACTAAGTGCCCAGGAGAGGGGAAAAGGAGGGACTTAAATGCACTTATTACTTTCTGTGCACTTATTATTATAGGGTTACATCAAAATAGTGGAGTGAGTTTATTATGTTTGAGATATTAATATTTGTCAAAAGAGGGGACAGGTTAAAAAAAGGCTGAGAAACACTTGTAAACCAAGTGCGAACATATAAAGAACGGGAGATACCAACTCAGCTACAGGCGGAGTCATTTGTCCTCAGAACACATATTTTTATAGGCTCAGTCTCATATTCCTTGTTCTTCTTCCAGGCCATCTTAAGTGACCAGTAAGTGAGCAGGGAACATAATAATAATAAAAAAATTATTGAATTATCTCCCAGTTGTAGTAAATTTCATATAAAGTCCTAATATTGCCAATATTTGGTAGCGGAAGGCACAGGCAGAAGATAAGTCCACCTTCAGGATACAGGAAGGGTGTTTAAGGCCAGGCACAGTGGCTTGGGCCTGAAGTCCCAGTTACTCTGGAGGATGAGGGGGAAGAATCACTTGAACCCAGGAGTTCGAGGCTACAGTGATCTCTGACTGTGCCACTGTACTCCAGTCTGGGCAACAAAGAGCCTGCTTCAAGGAAAAAAGAAAAAAGAAAACTTATTTAAGTAGAAGAAGGGAGAAGACCCAGAAAATTCAACTCTAGACTGTAGAATGAACTGAATTTTGCATCAAATGATAAAAAATGATAAATAAAAGTCAAAGTGATTGGGACTTTCTCTGCACTGCTGTCCTCAGGACAGAGTTTACAAAAATGGACTTCTTTTCATGCTATTTTGAGAGCCATTTAACCAAACCTTATCTGGAACAATGAGAATGGGAATCTGAGAGTCATATACAAAGAGTGCTCCTTCTAGATCATATCTCCTAATCTCACAACATAAGAATAAGTCTTTGGAAATTCTTCCCAGTGCTCTAGGATATGGCAGGAGCTTAGAAAGTGTTATCACCAAGAGAAGTAAAACCTAGAACTTTTCCCATTTAAGCCCTTTCCAAGGAGAATAACATGGTTTAAAAGCAAACAAACACATACCTGTAAACTGGTCCTAACTGTTACAATTAGTTTGAGCCAAGAAGGAAATTTTCCAATCATTTTACTCAGAAATGATACAATTGTATCCCCGTAATCCGGTTTGTGAAATTCTGCTTCATTTAATCCATCAATTAAAATGATGAAATCTTCATCTGGGATTTTTCTCTCTGAGATAGAAAGAAACAAATTACTTAATAATTATTAAGTGGATAAGTAAATTCTTTTTGGGTCTTTGATCACATATACATTTGGAACAAAAATATTTAAAAAGGCCTCTCATGTGTTTACTGAATGCTCAGGACACAGAATTTATTATAAAGATATGGAATTGTTCATTTAGTAAAATTTATTTAGTTTTTCATCAAGTGTGAAAGCTTTTGTCATGTGTGTGTGTGTGTGTGTGTGTGTGTGTGTGTGATCATTTTCAGAAATCCCCATATTAACAGCTGTGAGACAGCTTAAGCACTGGAGTGAGATTCTGTATGTGGAAATTCCTTTTTCTCTTACACATGAAAAAGCTGAACAGAATTTGATCACACTTGTTTAAAGAGAACAGAATCTCATGTGCTTTTGGCAGTTTTCCGAAAAGGGTCCATTTAGTGTCTCAGGCAGCACACAGGACTGTTGTGCACTTGTAGCAGGAAGGACGGACGGAAGGACAGAGAAAGGAATCCTCGCTGACAGAGCTGAAGCAGGCAAGCTAGACCCAAAGACTCCGGCCGCTTCCTAGACTCCTCCTAAAGGAACCTCAGTGAGACCGGTCCCTTCTGCGATCTTCCCAGGGGAGAGGGGTCAAGTGGGAAAGACCAACATTGGCCACATTGGTGTCTAGTTGCCCTCTGGACTCTACATGCTCCCAGACTGACAAAATCAGCTTCCTTTAGGGTTAGGCAAAATAAAAGGGCTTGGCAAGACTCTGGGCGTCTACACTAACTAAATGCTTGAACAACATCGAACATCCAGAGATTTAAAAATCCCTAGACTGAGAGAACGTTTCAGTATAAGTGGACTGTGAGTAGTAAGTAAATGCTACTAGTTAGTAGGACCTGACGGGTTGCAGGGAGGAATGCAGAGCAAAGAGAGCAGCAAGTTGTTGGATTCTGAAGTGAAAAACAGGTTTTAATAGAGGAGGAGGAGTAGGAGGAGGAGGAGGAGGAGGAGGAGGAGGAGGAAGCCGAGGCAGAAGAACACGTCTGTGTCTGTGGACTTCTGCAAAGACTGGCTTTTTTCACCTTACTTGTCAAGACCAGTAGAAACTGCACAAGCTATTTTGGTTTTACATTTGAAAAACACACAGATTTTTTTGCAACGATGAACATAATACGGTTTTATGCTTTTCTCCCAAAGCATAAGCTTCATATAAAGAAATGTAATCTCTATCCTAAATGCTGTAGGTCAGTTCTCAGATAATGAAAAGTTTAGCTATGACTTTCATCTGGCAGCGTTTAAGGGCGAGAAATGACTGGACCCTAGCTCTGTTAATGGCAAGAGCGAGTGAATGGCATCAGGTGACGCTGCACTGGGAAAGCACAGAACTCCCTGAGGGGGTCCAAGGTACTAAGGAGGCAAGAGGTGCTTGAAACGAACTAGAATTCACCCAAACAACGGGCCGTCATGTTCCTGATTCCGAGGTCTCTGGCTCCCTTAAGCGTCACTGTGTCTCTGATTTCCACAGAGGAGCTTTCAGTGGCACTCCGCTTGGCTGGGCACAGTCGCCCGTCCCACTCAGTGGGTGCTGGAGCCACCCTGCCCTGGTTCCGGAGGGCTCACGGCAGTATCCTCAGGCTGGCTGCTCAACAGTCAGGGGCTTGAGATGGGCAGTGGGGAGATTTACACCCCGGACACTCGCAGCTGTCCTCCCTCAGGCGGGTGGTTAAAAACTCAGGGCACACCACAGTCCCCACACTTCAGTTACACGTCTTAAACTTAGCTTAACACAGCTTCCTTCACAAGAAAGTCATGACCTTCAAGTAGAGAAAAGGGCTGACGATGATGCATCTGTTGCGACTGTCTTGGGAAAACATTTCAAACACGTTCTCAAGCAGAAAAGCCAAGGTGTGCACTGAATGATGATCTAGACATTTTTTATGAATCAATAATTCATTTGCTAATAAAGCATTTGCATAAATTCTTAGATTATATTATTCATCTAGTGAGTAAAGCAGATAACATACCAATTCTTATTTTTAAAAAGAAATATTTACCTCCCAATCAAAATAACTATATTCTTCGAAATCCTGGTATTTTTTTCCCCCAGGAGTCACCTCCTTTGAGGTACTTACAGGTCACCTATTATTTTTGGTTATACGAAGTGCCAACAAACATTTCATTATTTAGGAAGAACAGCGTATTTATCTAAGGATATCCAATCTTGAGGATTCAGAACAATAAATGCAAAGAATTTCCTAATGCAACTAATATTGTAAAACAATGAGGACTGCTCCTAAAATAATTTCTTTTCTTTTGCTAAGAAATAGGGTTCTCCTTTCCAAGAACTAACTGGCCCGACCCTGTTTAGCTTTGGAGATCAGACGAGATCAGGTGTGTTCAGGGTGGTATGGCCGTAGATGGGAATATGGTTTCTCAACTACAAGTTTAAGGGGTGAGGTTTTAATGATCTTTAGACACTGCCTTCCAAATGCAGCCAGCCTGATAAGAATGCTTCAGCATGTTCATTTTCGAACTTTTGTGGAAGTGGTATCAAAATCACGAGCTCTTATAGAACTATTTTTTTTTTTTGAGTTGGAGTCTTACTCTGTCACCCAGACTGGAGTACAGTGGCACAATCATGGCTACCGCAGCCTCAACCTGCTGGGCTCAGGTGATCCTTCTGCCTCAGTTTTCCAAGTAGCTGGAACTACAGGTGTACGCTATTATGCCTGGCTTATTTTTTGATTTATTGTAGAGATGAGGTCTCACCAAGTTGTCCAGGCTGGTCTTGAACCTGTGAGCTTAGGCAATCCTCTCACCTCGGCCTCCCAAAGTACTGGGATTATAGGTATGAGCCACTGCATCCGGCCTTTTCATAGAATTTTACAAATAAAAATTTAAAAACGAATCAGGAAGGCTGGGCTCGGTGGCCCAACCTATAGTCCCAGCACTTTGGGAGGCCGAGGCGAGTGGATTGCCTGATCCTGTGGGTTTGAGATCAGTCTGGGTAACTTGGCGAGACTTTGTCTCTGCAATTAACAACAACAAAAAAATAGCTGGGTGTGGTAGTGCGCATCTGTATTTCTAGCTACTTGAAAGATTAAGGTGGATGGATCACCAGAGTCCAGCAGGTCGACACTGGGGTGGCTGTGAGTGTGCCACTGTACTCCAGTCTGGGCGATGGAGATCCCAACTCTAAATAAATAAATAAATAAATAAATAAAAATAAAAATTAATCGGGGACTCACAAAGGATTCCTACTTCATATTTTGCCATGTAAGAACATTTAAGCTATAATCACCATCCACTGTTACTATTATTTTATAGGATTAAAAAGAATTTTAATATTAGAAAAGTAAGAGAGACATGATCGAATCTTTCGATACATACACAGGTAAAATTACATCATATCTACATCCACATTGCTCTGTTTTCTTATTTGGTCCTGGGCTAATTCGAAATTTCAGGTGTGGCCTGGCACTTAGGAGTCGTTGCTCAGGCTGACAAGCCACAGAAAGGTTCCCCAAGCCCTTTCACCCTGTCTTTTTTCTATTGTTCAGATGTGTGATCCATCTCAGATGGATTTTTGCGTACAATGCGAGGTAAGGGTTGAGATCCAGGTAGTCCCCACACTTATCCAGTTGCTCCAGGACCACATGATGACAAAAATCTTCTCTCCCTAACCCGACATCTTTGAACAAACTGATTGCATAAGTGTGGGTTGTTTCTGGACTCTCCGTTCAGCTCCAGTGATCTATTTTCTATCCCTGCACAGATACTGCCCTGTCTGTGGAGTACAAGAGCTGACTCAAGCTGGCTCATGAGAGCAGACTGCTAAGATTTTATGCATCAGTTCGGCCCCCATCCCTGAGCTGGTTGTTAAACATGGACTAGCACATCACTGTCTGTCACGCTTAGGGCAGTAATCAGTAATACTGTAAGGCCTGAATCTTTCACCTTTCTTCTTTTTCAAGATTGTTTTAGCTATTTTTGGTCCTTTGAATTTCTGAAAGCCGTCAATTTTTAAAGAAAAATTCTGCTAGGATTTTGATTGGGACTACGTTGAACCTACAGACCAGTATGAGGAAAAACTGACATCTCCCAGTCCACATATATGGCATGCTTCTTTCATTTACCAAGCTCTTTAATTTCACTCTACAATGTTTTCTTTCACTGTGAAGGTTTCACACATCTTTTGTTGAATTTATTTATTACAAGTATTATTTATTTTTTGATGCCACTGAAAATACTATTTATTCCAGTTATCTATTCCTTTATCAAACAGCGAGGTGGTTACTCGAATGCCTGGAGCTAGGGATGGAAGTTGAATCGTGATTTGGAGACGGGACCGTCAACTGGACTCTCCTTGTAGCTGGTGTTGCTTCACCGCATGGTGAACTTGGGGTAGGCTTCTCACGTGGCAACACATGCCTCAGAAGCAGATGTTTCAGTGAACAAGATGGAAATTGCAAGGTCATTTTGGACCTACCTTCATATGTGCACAGTGTCACTTTGCAGGGCTCTATTTGTTTAAGCAATCACAAACCTGCCCAGAGATGGGGGAAGAGACACAGATCCCCACTTAATAATGTCAGATTCTGTAGCCATGTTTTAAAACTAGTGGGTCTTTTTTGGGGTACATTCTTTATAGCTTTCTAGGTAAACAATTATGCTGTCTGCACATAAAGACAGTTTTGCTTCTTCCTTTCCGACCTTTATACTATTTGCTTGCTTGCATATTTTCTTACTGTACTAGCTTGGACCACCAGTGGAATGATGGCTATAAGTAGTGAGAGTGAGAGCACATTCTGTCTTGCTCTTGATCTCGGGGGAAAGTATTTAACATTTCACCATGACAATATGTTTATCGGACTTAACTTCCTTCTATTCCTAGTTTGTATAGTTTAAAAAAAATTCCCTTCAGCCAAACCGTCTAAATTTGCAGTTTTTATCATTAATTTGTGTTGAATTTTGTCAAACGCTTTTCTGCATTTATTGAAATAATTATATGGATATTCTCCTTTATTCTGTTAATATATTATACTGATTAACTTTCAACTGTTAAACTCGCACTTCATTCTTTACCAAGTAGGACTAATCAATTTGCTATTGCTTTTTTCAGGATTTTACTATTACAGGAGAAAGGGTCTTGCTCTGTTGCCCTGCTTGGAGTACAGTGGCACGATCATGACTCAATGAAGCCTCAAACTCCTGGGCTCAAGCAATCCTTCCACCTCAGCCTCCTGAGTAGCTGAGACTACAGGCTTGTGCCACCACACCCAGCTAATTTTTAAATTTTTTGTAGATGGGGTCTTGCTATGTTGCTCAGGCTGGCCTCCAACTCCTGGCCTCAAGTGATCCTCTACCTCAGCCTCTCAACGTGTTGAAATTACAGTGTAAGTCACTGTGCTCAGCCTATAATTTTCTTTTCTTGGAAGATCCTTAACACATTTTGGTGTCAGCATTATGCTTACCTAATAAAACAAATTGGAGAATGTTCTATTCTCTTCCATTTTCTGAACACAATTGTGTAACACATTTGACATTATTTCTGCCTTAAATGCTAGAAACAATTAAACCAATTAATCAGTGAAGCCAGGATTTTCTTGCTGGGAAGATAGTTTTCCTTTTAGGCTACAATCAAATTGAAGAGATTAGTGCTGTTTAGAGTTTCTATTTCTTCTTGAATCACTGTTGGAAGGTGGTGTTTTGTTAAAGAACATGACCACTTTAGCTAAGGTATTAAATGTACTGTTATAAAGTTTATAAGGATCCTTTACTTTTACTTTTGTTTCTTTTATTTTTTATTTTCTTGAGTCAGAGTCTCACTCTGATGCCCAGGTGGGAGTGCAGGGGCACGCTCACAGCCACTGCAGTCTTGACCTGCTGGGCTCCAGCGATCCTTCCACCTCAACCTTCAAAGTAGCTGGAACACACCCATCTAATTTTTTGATTTATTGTAGTGAAGTCTTACTTTTCTTTTAATGGCTATGGAAACTGCAGTGATATCTCTTCATTCCTAATGTAGTTAATTTGTGTTTTTCTCTCATTTTCTTGGTCAGTCTTGCTGGGGTTTATCCATTTTCACCATCAATTTTCTATTTCATTAACTTCTGCTCTTGCTTTACTATTTCCTTCTTTCTGCTTAATCTGGGTTTATTTCTGTATTTTTCTAGTTTATTAAGACAACTGATTTTATAATATTTAGTTGGAAATATTTAATAATTCTCTTTGTGATTTCTTCTCTGACCCATTGGTTATTAGTATGTTTTTGTTTTTTTTTGAGTTGGAGTCTCACTCTGTCGCCCAGACTGGAGTGCAGTGGCTGCTCCCGGTCACCGCAGCCTTGACCTGCTGGGCTCTGGCAATCCTTCCGCCTCAGCCTTCCAAGTAGCAAGTATGTTGTTTGTTTATAAATATGTGGGGGTTTTCTTGTTATTGATTTCTAATTTAATTCCATCGTATTAGAGAACATTTTCTGTAAGATTAATTTTTTGAAGTTTGGAGATTTGTTTTAAGTCCCTTAAATATGGTCCACATGCACCTGAAAAGAATGTATATTCTGCAACTATTGGATAGTGTTCTATAAATGTCAATTAGATCAAGTTCATTGATAGAACTGTTCACATCTTCTGTATCCTCACTTTTTGTCTACTCTAATAGTTACTCAAGAGAGAGGAGTTAAAAATCTCTAACTATGACTGGGTATTTGCCTATTTGCCCCTTTATTTTTACCAGTTTCCGATTCACATATTTTGAGTGTCTGATACTAGGCACATGCGCACTTATGATTATTTGACTTTCCTGATGAATTGGTCCTTTAATGTCCCTCTAGAAATGAAGGCATCTACTATCTTTAAGGAAATGGCTGCCTTTGGACCATAGCTGACACTAGAATTGCAGAGGAAAAAGGGAGGGAAGGCAAGAACATGAATGGGGATGAATTTCATTTAATTTTCTTCACTTTTTAAAAATCACAGCTTTCCTGAGACACCCTTATGCTTTTTAAATGATTTCTAGTGTACATACGGGCTGTGCAACCATGGATGCTATGCTACTTTACCTGAACTGATGGGGTAGCAGGAAATAGGACATGAAGACTGGGGAGATGCCTAGCCACAGAAACTCCACAACACTGAGCTGGAACCACAGTTACTGACTTATTTGACCTTCACGACAAGGACCGAAAACCGCACTGTCTCTGGCACGAAAAAACACACTATATTTGGAAACGAGAAGGAGGACTTTGAGCAGCAGTCACTGCAGGGTTTTTCCAAGCGCAGCCTTTCCTCTGTTGACTGCGTGCGCGGGGACATCAGCGTGCAACCTCTAGTGTTGGCCACCTGACGAAAACAACCACTTCCACAGCAGGGCCCCAGCCTACCGCCCTTCGCCCACACCAGGCCTCATCTGTACCTCTGTGGAGACTCTCTAGGGGCTCCAGCACGCCCCTCCGGAAGGAGGCCAGGGGGTCCTGCACACAGGAGCGAAGGCTCAGCATGCTCTGTAGGTGTGGCTGCCGGAGAAGCTGCTCCCGGTAGGCTGCCAGCTGTGGAGAGCGGCAGAGCAGGGCTGCGACGTTGTGGACGAGCTCGGGCACCAGGCAGGTGTAGGCGTTGTCTGCCTGGCAGTAATGATACGCCACCACCTGCGGAAGACAGAGGACAAACCAGAGGGCTCAGTGGGGCAGAGGCAGAGGCTGCGCAGGGCCACGCCGCGATACTGTCCCGCTCTCCATCCCAGCCTCTGCATGTGAACACGAGAGCCACAGACCTAGAGACTGCCTGACTTGTGGTAGGATCCGACATCTGATACACTTTCTTTTCTTTCTTTCTCTTCTTTGAGTCAGTCTCCCTCTGCTGCCTAGGCCGGAGTGCAGTGGCATGTTCACCGCCACTGCAGCCTCAACCTGCTGGGCTCAGGCGATCCTTCCACCTCAGCCTTCCAAGGAGCTGGATGACAGGCATACACCACTATGCCTGGTTAGTTTTTAAAATTTATTGTAGAGATGCCAAGTTGCCCAGGCTAGTCTCGAATCCCTGGACGCAGGCAATCCTCTCGCCTCCGCCTCCCAAAGTGCTGGAACGATAGGCGTGAGCCACAGCACCCAGCTTGATAAACTATTTCTAATGTATACACAGGATATTGTAACCCAGAATTAAAATTTATAAATAAAAGTTTTCCCTCTGGATTATGAGAAATAGAAATCATTCTGAAAATGAAGATTTACATTAATATCACTAACATTTATTCAGCATGGAGAAGTACAGCAGAGAATCTAATCTTGTAACAAAGCATTAGGAATAAAATGATTAGAGAAAAATCATGTTAGTCTCAACAAACACATATTCTTACATCACTGCTTTGATTACAGTTGTATTATAAACTAAGCCTCATAAAAAAATAATTCATATTTAACAATTAGGATTAAATGTTTTCTGAGCAGCCTTAGAGTATTGGAATTAGATAAAAGGAAGAAAAGGGTGAGATTTTTGTTAGATGTAGATTTTTTTTTTTTTTTTGAGACAGGTCCTCACTCTGTTACTACGCTGGGGTGCAGTGGCACAATCATAGCTCACTGAAGCCTTAACCTCCTGGGCTCAAGCTATCCCCCATCTCAGTCTCCTACAGGTTCGCGTCACCACACACACCTAATTTTTTATTTTTTGTAAAGATGAGGGTCTTGCTATGTTGACCAGGCTGATCTTGAACTCCTGGGCTCAAGCAATCCTTCCACCACTGGGATTTTGGGTGTGAGCCACTGAGCCTGGTCTAAATGCAGGTCTGACGGTCAAATAACTTAGAAAATTTATGAGTCTTTTTTGCCTTGAAACATCAACCTTACTGTTCTATACAGTACATATCACTGATGTTTACACACGTATCTGCTTTTATGTTTCTCCACTTTTCCTGGCATCGCTGCCCCGCCAACCCAAGTTCCTTCTGACCAAAGGGCTTCCTTTAGCTCTACTTTAAATGAAGGTCTACTGGCAACAGATTCTCTCAATTTTTGCTCCTTAGAGAATGACTTTATTTTATTCATGATATTGAAGGGATTTTTAAATCTCTGATTTCTTTTCTGCAAAACTTTAAGACTCAGGTGCTACACAGGCATGCTTATTACAGGGACGCACTGAGTGGTGGAAGGATGAGGTCTCAGGGGCTCCCTCCCAGACGGCGAATGCTGTGCCCTGTGGGTAGCTTCTGAGTCCTCGCCCCATTCCTACCTCTCCCCTCACTGGTGTTCCCAGGGTCTCCTATTTCCATCCTTGGGCCTGTTGAGTGCTGGTGACTGAGTGAGAACATGTGGAAAAAACCTGCTGCTGGTTTGCACTTAGGACGATGATCTCTAGCTCCGTCCATTTTGGTACAAAGGTCAGGATTTCACTCTTTTTGATGGATGTGCATATTCCAACGCGCACACATACCACATTTTCTTTATCCAGTCAACTGCTGGAGGGCATTGAGGGTGGTCCATGATTTTGCTACTGTGAATAGTGCTGCAACAAACATATGAGCATTGGTATCTTTTTACACATTGATTTTTTCTTCCTTTGGGTAGATCCCTAGGAGTGGGATTGCTGGGTCAAATGGTAATTCACTTTTTAGTTTTTTGAGAAACCTCCATACTGTTTTCCATAGAGGGTGACCTAGTTTATAATCCTGCCGACAGTGGGTAAGCATTCCCTTTTCTCCTCAACTGCACTGGTATCTGCTGTTCTTTGATTTTCTACTAATAGCCATTCTGACTGATGTGAGGTACTATCTCATTATGGTTTTATTTTGCATTTCTCTGATGATCAGTGATGTTGAACATTTTTTCATTTGTTTGCTGGCTGCTTGGGTGTCTCCTTTTAAGGAGTGTCTATTCATGTCCTTTGTCTACTTGGAAAAATTATGAGTTTTGATATCATCTAGGGTCTAGGCTGTCTGGCTAGAACCTGGAGTCTTCAAGCTGCTTTTTTTTGGGGGGGTTATAATTTGCACAGGGCTCACCTGTTATCTTCTGGCTGTTTTCCCTTCCTTAGGGGCAAGTACAGAGCGTGTTTTTAACCTAGACCATTCTTCTGGCTCATTATTACCCAGAAAAGTGATAGAATTGTTTAGAAAATACAGAACTGGCAGGGAAGTTTCAGCTTGAATGCAGAGAAAACCCTTGGCACGGTGCCCTGCACATCGCAAGTCACAGTAACACCAGGTGATGTCGCCATCATCACCATCACCTTCATCCTCAAGGACCTGTACTCTGTCTTTTTCACCAACCAGCTTTGTGCTTATAGGCAACAGGAATTTGTCCTGGGGGCATTCATGGATATAACACTGGAATTCCAGCTCCCCAGTCATCTCCTAGAGAACAGTCATCCACTGATGAGCTCTGCTTTGAAAAGACTCCGCATCTACCAGTATGGTCATTCTAGCTCTCTTAACACATGCTAGAAATGTCAATTTTTAATAAAATAGCTGAAACCTTCTCATTAAAGATAAAGCAACCAAACAACACAGGAGATGTTACTACATGTATAAAACTGAAGATAGGAACTTCTTGTGAGAAGCAATGAAGTCTGAGCATAACACAGAAAATGGAAATCAGAGGTTATATTTTAAAAATCGCCACTCTTTTGATAGCTCAATTAATGCTTCATTATCCACCTTAAACACAACATAAGGAACCCAAAGAAAAGCTCACCAGTAATTGATCTGTCTCTCAATGAACAGTGAATGTCAGTGGTTACGTCTACAAATCTCCACTTGATAAAAAACACCTCTGAATCAAATAAACTTTGGTCATATTTTACTTCAATTGATTCCACATATCGAGGCTACGTATAGCTGAGCAAATCAACTGTACCATTTGCCTAATGTAACAGAATATCATTTTAAAGATAAAAATTGTGAAATTTAGAAAAAAGTTCATTTACCAACTTTATTAAAAATCATCTGTGCTCTTGTATGAATGATGTTGCAGCTAACAAAAGTCAAAGCCTAGGCTATACACCTCTTTCTTGTAATTTTAAATTTTCTTTGTCCTTCCAAACATAAAATCTTGATGCTTTTGCAGAATTCAGGTAGTAAATTCACTTATCTTCATTAGATTTGCACTGTGGCTCAGAAGAGGTTATCTACTAGACAGTTTAAAGTAGCTAGGTAGCGTGTACAAGGGGGAACCTCCCAAAAAACTGGAATTTATTTATAAAAAATTGTGTGTTTTTCCTTACATGTTTAAACTTCAGTAACCTTCCAAGTATTCTCTACTGGATGCAATATGCCCATCAAGACACCTTTTCCACTGCTCAAAACCATTTGTGAACTCGCCAATTTTGATGACTTTTGATGCTTCTGTTTTTTGCTTCACTTCTTCTACACTGGCAAAAAGTTTCCCTTTGAGGATTTTTTTCATCTAGTGAAACAAAAAAAGTCACTTGGGGTAAGAGCAGGTAAATAGGGAGGGTGGGGAATGGGCGTCATGCTGTTCTTGGTCAAAAACTGTTGGACACCCAGTGTGGTGTGGGCAGCTTGTTGTCATGGTGGAAGAACCAGTCACCTCTCTGCAACAACTTGGGACATTTCCTCCACAAATCATGATGCAACCTTCTTGAAACTTGCAGATAAAACTTTGTCTGATCTGGAGGAATAAATTCCAAATGTACTACAAGAGACTCACTCGCCAAAACATAATTCTGGATTTTTTTGGGTCCCTCTCATGTAAGCACATACAATCTGTCAAAACATTTAGTACTTTCCCCAAATTTCCTATTAATATTATCAGCAACTTTTCCTATGCATAAAAATAGAAAATCAGCCTGGAAATGTAGGGTTTTTTCCTTCAGTCTCCCACAAAACCAGAGCTCAGTGACAGAGGCAAGGTCACGCCATACACGCTGAGTAAGTCATCCTGTCCACCTACATGCCACCACGATCGCCATGGCTTCTTGGAAATGGCTCAGGATGAGTCCATCCCATGAAGTTGGCAGGTAAAGCCAGTCTCAAAAGAACTCCCCCAAATTTCACTTTTAGCCATGTCTTTCTCACATTATCCATTTTTTTCATCTCAAGTTTCCCTGAACTTTTTATTAAAACAATTTTGTCTAAAGTAAACCTGATGTGACCAGAGTTACATTAATTCTTTGGAAGAAGAGAGCAAGGAAACTGTAGGTTACTCCTGTGAGAGAAGAAAGAAAAGGGCAGGCCTGGGGGCTCTACAGGGCAGTAAGAGACCAGAGGCCAGTGTAGCTTGTGCACAAACTCTCTGGATTTGATGCTATGGCCAAGAAGTGATAACACGAGTTCTACATTTTGTCAAAGGGACCGGGTGGCAGCAGCTCTATCAGGCCTGTGGTCAGAGGCCCACACTCTCCACCGACCACTTCATACTTTAAAGGAACAGTCTGTGACAGGACTGAACCAATCCCACATGAAGAAAGGGCAGCGCCTAGCATCTGAAATGCATCTGGCCCTAAAGTCTAACTGCCGTCTTCACTGGCTCTAGCTAGTATCACTTACACACGTTGCAAGGTCCCTCTTTTGGGCCAGCTGCAACATCAGGCCTCCTGGCATCATGCGTTTTGTGAATGTCATGTCTTCTTCCTCTTCAAGAGTGACTTCCTGATTGATCACCACACCCTTCAGGTTCAAGTTTGATGTTTAATA